AAAGGAAGAATTCTATCATTCATTGTAAATACTTGAATAACAATACTGATGTACTCATCTAAAACATATGAATTTAAATTGTCTCCAATAAATGCAGCCAACCTAGAATTGTCAGTGTTATAAATGGTATAAAAAAAGTAATAAAGAACTTCATATTAAAAGTACAAACTCTAAGTTTTGGGAAATTTTATTTACTACCCATGAATAATGTTGAAACACAAAAGAGAATGACTCACTATCCCAATAATATGTTTTTCCTGTTTCTTCTTCGGTTGGGTTTAATGAGACGGTTTCAGCATTGATATCAGAAGCAATAGAAATGAACCTACCGAATGAAGACATAGAAATAAAATATATTTTTCAAGTTCTTTTTCAATAAAATGATCACTTCAACCAAAAAATTAAAAAAAAGTATATAAAACTGTTGGTTGGTTTGTTAAGATGTAAGTACAACCCCAAATACCACAATAAAGAATTTCAAAATCGAAGAAAAAGCTTTGTTGTACAATTTCATCAAAAAAAAAATAAAGGACAAAATTTGCTAAATTTAATCCAATAAGAATTGTCCTAACCTCAATTTTTGAGTTGTAGTCAATAAAAAAACAACAAATTGATTGAAAATTACTTTGTTATGGAAAAGTAGTTGAGAAAACTACTTTTTCACTACATGCATAACGTTATAAAAAATTATTTGAAATATTAATAAGGGATATATTGAAAAATGAATCTATCATTTGTTCATTGGTTATTACATTGGTTATTAAATAGTTTTAAAAACAAACAAAGACAAATTTAATTTCAGAAGAATATTTAATAGCAATAGCTTTCCTTATTTTTAATTAAAATTATTGAAAATCCTAAATCATAGTACTTTACTTATTTCATGGTTTAATTAACCAAATACAAGTTGTAGTAACATTCAATAATTAAAGCAAAATGAAGATACTTCATTGAGAAACAAAACACGAATAAACAATTTAATTGAAGTGTGTGTTTATAATCTTTTTATTAATTAAAAAAAAAGGAATGAAATAAAAATTAAATAATATTTCTTCATAAAGAAAAAAAGGATTTGTTAAAACAATTTTTCATTAATAACAAATAAATTGATAGTAAGAAATAAATTACATTGAAATAAAATATTACATAGTAAAACTAAATGGCATTTGTTCATTTGGAATGAAATAAATTTCATTACCATCAGAAATATATGAACCTACAATAGATCCTTCAATTGGAATACTTTGTGCAACACTTTGTTGATACATTTCAGTTTTATAGAAACTAAATGGTAAAGTAGGAATAGAAGCTTGATTAGCTTGTAATAATTCGTTAGTAACTGTAATAGTCATTTCTCTACCAAACATTTCTTCAATTTGTTTACTAAATGCAGTACCAACAGATTCAAGTAACTCTCTTTCAATAATATCACCAAAAGGTGTAGTTAATGAATTAATTTTAACTAAACGTTCAGTGCATTTAGTTTTTTTAGTTTGTTTAATATCAAAAGAATATCCAAGTGTTTTTAGAAGATATAATAATCCATTATTAATTTGTGCTTCTTTACTTCTATTATATTGTTTATCACTCATTGATTTAATATCCATAGGTTCTTCTCCAACTATTTCCTTAATCAAAGAATCACTCATAGAAGCAAGTGTATTTTGGTCATACAATGTACCATTTAAATTAATAGTTTCAGGTAAATACATCTTTACTGTTTGCTTGGATCTTTTAGTCTTTCTAAAGGTAGCACTAGTATTTAACTGTGAAATAAATACATAAACTATAGCATTGGTTATACAAGCTTCACTACTTCTAGAAACTCTCTTACGGTCACGAGAAAGTGATGGTTCAGGACAATTCATAGTCATTTGAAATATTACTTGATTTCTTTCCGTCACTATTTCCTTTAAATAGCCCTATTTTCAAGTTTGCAGTTCTAGGTTTTAAAAATAACCAATAATTTTAAAAGAACTGAAAAAATATAACCAATCATTTAATAAAATCTTTAAATTAAATTATACAGTTCTTTATTATTTTTAGAGTGACTTTTTATAATAAAAATCATAATTTTTACAAAATAAAAAGGAAAATAGAAAGAAAAAGTAATTAATTAAGTATTAATAGATTTTTCATCTATTCTTCCTAGCTCAGGGGAGACTAATCCCATCCCTGAGCTTATTAAAAAAGAGTAATCTCTTTGTTAAACCTATTCTTTATGTTTTTCTTGCAAAATGAGGAAACCACTTCTTTGCTTTATTTCTTCCTATTAAGGTTTTTTCAAACTTCTTCTGCTTATTTCTTCTTTTTAAGCCTTTGTTTGTTTTCTGCCTTAATTTTAAGTAATTTCATTTTTCTTATTTTATGAATGGGAGAAGGAATCATTTTATTACTACTGTATTACTTTGACTAATCTTCTTTTTAGTCTTACTTTGACTAATCTTCTTTTAGTCATACCCACACTTCAGTAGATTCTTATATTACATCCATGTAATATTCTACTGTATTCTCTTGCTGCACCCTTTGCACCATTCCCTAATACATTCCTAATTCAAAAGCACCGTCATAACCAGATAATAACTGGGAGAGTCGAAGTTTGAATTTGTACTAGGGTTTGTGTGTGGTGTTTCAGACGTGCCACCTTCGATCTCTAAAAGGAAAATAAAACAAATAAATAAACATAAAAAACACAATCAAAAACTTCCAAATTTTTTTGTATCTTAAAGTTAAAAAGTGTTTATAGAAGTAAAGAAGAAATGAATTGATAAAAAATACGACGTTTTTTTACAAATAAAAGTTAATAAAACTTTTTTTTGAGGAATATAAATCAAAAAAAAACCCAAAAATGGTTATTGTAGGAAACGGAATTCAAAAGGCACAAAAAGGGTTTTAATACTTTCACTGAGTCTTCTCATGATTGAGCCAAGTCTTCAATCTAAATTACGACATATTTATAATTTAACCACTTTATATGTATGTGGGTTTTGTCTTTCATTTTCAGCATGTTGTTTTTGGCTTATTATTCCAATATTAATGAGAGACATTGGAGCATCTCCATTTGAGATTGGGTTTGTGGGTGCTGTTGCTTTTGGTGCTCAAGGAATTTTTGCTCCAATTTGTGGGAAATTATCTGATAAAATTCCTGCTGAGACTTTAGCTATTTTTGGTAGTTTATTACATTGCTTAACATGTCTTGTTGTTGGATTATTGTATATTCATGTCACTTCTGTTCTTCCATTATATTTCATTTTGATTATTCAATCAGCAGGATTTGCATTGTTTTGGTCTCCAACAGAATCAATGGTTGGAAATGAAGCATTTCCAGGACATGAAAGTAAGAATATTGGTCATTTTTTTATGTTTTGTTCAGGTGGTAAAGCTATTGGATTTTTTAGTGCTGGGTCATTGAAAGCATTAATAGGAACAACTGGAACACTTTATGTTTCATGTCTTATTGGATTTATTCCATTTTTTGTAATGACTCGTTTTCCATTGGTTAATAATATTAAAACAAAAGAAAATGTAAAAGACATAGAAATTGAATTAGAATCTTCAGCTAATGTAACAGCACAAAAAGAAATTGAAAACCAATCAACAAATATGACTCAAGAAGAACTTAACTCTAGTAAAGAAGAAGTTATTTCAGAAATTTCAAACAACCAAATAAATGAAGGAGCTATTATTAATGATTCAAGTAAAATATTAGATGAAGAAAAAGAAGAGGGTATAAATATAAAAGATATTAAAACTATTCAATTTTTATCAAAAAGACCAACACATTATTTTTTGTATTATATTAATGACATCATTCTTCATTTAGTAATTTATGGAACAGTTGGTATTATTCAAAATCAATATGTTAATTTAGCATCTGATAAACAAACACATCTTCCAGGATTTTCAGACAATTCAGATGTTTATGTTGGAATTTTATTATTTGTAATTAATATTGCACAATTAGTTGCTTTCTTTATTTTAGGATTTTTTAAAGCATGGCAATTTAAAATAACATTAAATATTATTAGTTTATTAATTTCTATGATATGTTTAACTGGATTTTTATTTATTAATAATGGATATATTCTTTGTACGTTTGGTATTATTTTTGGTTTTATCGCTGGATTTGATTTGGAAGAAAATATGTTCTATTCTCTTAATGCTTCAGAAAAAGAAAAAGGTAAATATATGGGTATTAGTGAATGTTCAAGTTGTCTAAGTTATAGTTTATCACCTTTGATTGCTGGTGTTCTTTCAACATTATTAACAACAGAATGGTGTATTTATTCATCAATGATTTTTGTACTTATTGGACTTATTGGGTGTGGTACAACACAAGCCTATGTTAAATGGATTGAATATAAAGAAAAGAAAATGATTGAAAAAGAAACAGGAAAAACCAATCAACAATTGAAAAAGGAGTTTAAATTATTAAATTGATAGTAATTATTTATAAATTTATTTTTAGTTTAGTTTAAAGATTATTCATTCAATAACAATTAAATTATTGTTTAGCTGTTAGTATTATTTTTATAGTAAATGATTTTTGTTTGAAAGATATTTTATTTCATTATTTCTATCTCATAAACTTTTTGTTTAATAATTAATAAAAAATTGATATTTTATGTTTACAAATAATCTTCTAAAAAAAAACACAAATCTTTAGTATTATATTTTTATTATTTGTAAAATTTTATCTAAAAATAAGATAATAAGTCAATTAAAATTAAACTATTCCTTACTTTAATAAATTAGAGAATTTAGATATAATTTTTTATTGAAATAATTTGTTTGTTTATTTGTTTTTGGTGGTTATTTGTGAAGATAAAAATAGTAATTATTAATACAATAGTTCAATAAAGAAGCAATTAGATTAGGTGAGATTCTCAAGTGAAATCTTTTGTAGAACGTTCAGTTGAGTAGTAATTTCGTTTTTTTTTATTAAGTTTTTGTTAATGGTAAGAATATAAATCTAATAATTTATTAAGTTGAATATTGATATGATAGTTATTTTACTTCTTATTTCTTTTATTTTTTCTTTTGCTTATGCAAATACTGGACTTGACATTCATTTATTTGATGTTGGACAAGCAGATGCTCAGTTAATAGTTTTTCCATCAGGATATTCAATTTTAGTTGATGCTGGAGAGAAGAAGACAGGATCAATGAATTGTAAAATGATTGCTGAAAGAATTAAAGCAATTCTTGGAAAAAGTCATGTTGATGTAGCTGTATTAACACACCTTCATTTAGATCATGTAGGAATGCCTTATAAAAATGGATTTTGGTATTTAATGGAAAAAGCAGGAATTACTTTTGGTAAATTTATTGATAGAGATGCAGGTGTAGTTAAGAATGGATTTACTGCATGTACAACTGCTGTTTCAGAAAATATTGAATGGCATAATGTTGGAACTTATTCTTCCACTGCTATTAAATGGTTATGTTATGCTACTAATAAACAACTTCAAAATAATATTACTGGTATTAGAGAAATTGCAGTTCCATGTAGTAATCAAATTAATCCTCCAGATGAAGGTGCTTCAGTAGAAATTGTAATTAGTGATGCTCTTGGAGTTATTTCTGATGGAAAGCCATTAGCTGCTGATTATCATGATCAAAAGAATGTTCCAAGTGAAAATGATTATTCTATTTCTTTAAGAATTCAATTGGGAGATTTTGTTTATTCTACTTCTGGTGATTTAGATGGACAAGACAGTGGCTCTAGATTTGGTTATCTTTATCATAATATAGAGTCTTTATATAAAGATGTTGTTGGAGAAGTAGATTTATATAAGGCTAATCATCATGGATCAGAACATTCTAATAATGCTGAATGGTTAGGAGTTCTTAAACCAACTGTTTCATTAATTTCATGTGGTCATGGTAATCTTTATAAACATCCAACTGAACCAGCTGTTTCTTTAATGAATAAATATTCAAAAAAGATTTATCTAACTGAAGACTGTAATGCTGCAGTTACTGATAAATTTGATAAAATTGTAATTGTTGGTAGTGAAATAATTGTTCATTACCAACCAAAAAGTTCATCTTTTACTGTTTCTAATATTGGTAATACTTTCAAACATTCATATAATGTGAAGAAAAATAAACCACAAAGAAAAGCATGTGGTGTTATTTAAATTCAAAAAGAAAAACACATTGGTCATTCTTAAATTTTTTAAGTTTTATATTTTTATACAAATATATTTAAAAAGATTCAATAGTTTTATTCTTTAATACCTTAATAATATCTCCCCATCTTATTTCCCTCTGACATTTAGGACAATTTCCTGTTGTTGGTATTAATGTATGAGTATTTTCACTAAACATTTTTCCAAGACAACAGAGATGTGCTTTCATTCCACATTTATACAAACATTTAACAATTCGTTGGTCTAATTTAATACGTTGTTGACAAATAAAACAATTAGATGAAGTATTTTGTATTTCTTTTAATTCTTTTTGCATTTGAATTTTTTTTTGTTCTTCAGTCACCGTAACTTCTTGTGATGTTTTATCATCAAGATGAAAATCTTCTATTAATTGAGATAATTGAGATTGAGAAGTACCATGAAGGTTATCAAAAATATTATCATGTTTTATTTTCGTTTTTTCTTTTCTGTCTATTCTAGCGATACCAACACATTTCATTATATCATTTAAATCTCCATATTCAACAGTTATTTGTTTTGGTAAAGGAGGACAATCATTTAAAAAATTATCATAACGATGAGTTGTAATATAAACAGATAATGGTAATTTACAATATGCAGGCATTTGAAGAATCTCTGCAAGTAATCTAATTTTATATTGTAATGAAAACATAGTTCCACAATGTTTTCCTTTCATATTATCAAATGCTTGTCTTACTCTTCTACCTTTTTCTGGATGTTGCCAATCCCATTCAAATTGTAAAACTTTTGTTTGAGTTGGAAATGAATGAACAACAATTACCATTTCCCAAGGACGTTTAGCTTCAGTTTTGAAAGCACCCCCACTAATAATTCCATTATGTTGTTTAATTCTTCTTGGAGGACAAGTTGTTTTTCCAATATAAGTATGATATTTAAAACCAGGATTAATAGAAGTTAATAAATAAACACAAAATTTCATAGAACTAATATTCTTTTCCATTAATTCAATAACATAATTTTATAGTTCTATCTTTAATAAATAAAAACAAAAAATAGAAAGAAACTGGAAAAAAAGAAAAGAATAAATAAATAATAATATTTAATGAGTCAAATAATAAATTTTATATTTGATTTTAATGGAACATTATTTGATGATACAAACATAAATTATTTAGTATGGAAATATTCATTTGAAAAAAGAGGAATTTATTTAACAAAAGAAAGTTATTTAAAAGAACATATTGGAAAATCAAGTAAACAAACGATAATTGATATAATGAAAACAAATAATACAAAAATAATATCAGATATTTTAAATGATAAAAATAAATTTTTAAAAACAATTTTAAAAAAAGGAGTTTCATTACAAAAAGGAGCAGAACAATTATTAAATTATTTAAAAAATAATTCAAATAAATATCATTATATTATTGCTTCTATGGCTTCAACAAATACTATGAAATTATATTTTAAATATTTACATCTTGAAAGATGGTTTAATATGGACCAAATTATTCTTTATGATAATTCATGTTTACCTAAACCAAATCCTGAATTATTTATTAAAGCAATGAATAAACTTAATGCATCAACTCAAAATACTGTTATTTTTGAAGATTCTTTGACAGGTTTAAAAGCTGCATATGCAACTCATGTTAATTTAATTATTGCAATTAATTATCAATCAAAATTAATAGAACTTCAATCATTAGGAATTTATCATTCTTTTAAAGATTTTTCATCTAAAAATTTACAAATTTTATTATTTGGAACTGAAAAATATTAAATTATATTGAATAATTTATTTAATTATAAATTTATTAATAAAAAAAACTAAATTTACTTAATATCTTCTATCTCCTCTACGTGAAGGTAATTGATCATCTTCATCAACATATCTTCTTCTAGAATCACATGTATCATCATAATCATTTCTTCTAGTATCTTCATGAAATTCAAATCTTCTTTCATTTCTATAATTATCAGAATGATTATAAAATTTTCTTTTACGTTGAGTTTGTTTTTGTTCACCACCATCTCCTCTTCCATATTGTCTTCCTTCAACAAAACCATAATCCCAATCAATTCTAATATATTGTCCAAATACTTGTGTTCTATCTAATGCTTTCATTGCTAATGCCGCATCATTTCTTTTATTAAATTCTACAAAACAAAAACCACATGGTTCATTTGAATGATTAACACCCATAATAACTCGGTTAATATTTCCAAATCTTCCAAATAATGTATATACTCTCTTATCATTCATAGAATGACTAACATTTCCTACATAAAGTGTTGTTGATGTTGATATTTTTTGAATCATTTGTTCTGGTGTAAAACCTGATTCTCTATCAAAATATTCAAGAGTAGGTTGTGTAATATACAATTCACTCATTTAAATTAATTTCTTTATTTTTTTTTCAAATTGTTTTTAATTTTCTTTTTTTTTTTTTTCTCAAAATTTTTTAAAAATTATAACTTAAACTAACAAAAACAAAATGGCTTCAAATGTATAAATTCTTAATAACTAAAAGTATTTAAAACATATTTGTTAATAGATATTACTCTACCTTCTTTTAAACAATCAAATAACCATTGAAAATTAAGAACTGGTACTCCCCACCTTAATGCACATCTTGCTTTTTCACTTGATAATGCTTTTGCAATGAGGAATGTAATTGTAGAACTATTCATATCATCAGTACACATTCCTCCACACTCTTCAATCATTCCTTTCATAATTAATTTTTCTTGAACAGAGAATCCACTCAATGATATAATATATCCATTAAAGAATTGTTGATTTATGGTTTTAGATGATAAAGAATTCATCAATTAATTTTATAAGTTCTTTTTTTTTATAAGTAACCATTATTTATTACTTTTGGAAACTATTAAAAACTAATATATTAATTTTCTTGTTTTGATTACTAAGACCAACGTAAAACTTCGTTGACAAGATTGGCAAATGAGTTATAAACAAAATTACATACTAAGACTTAATATGTAATTATTTATTGAAACAAATCTTCGTTCAACAATACAATCAAATAGCCATTGATGATTTAAAACTGGTACTCCCCACCGTTTTGCATGTCTTGCTTTATCACTTGTTAATCCTTTTGACAAAAGAAAAGAAACTGACCGACTTTCCATATCTTCCATATAAATTCCTCCAAATTGTTCAATCATTCCTCCTAATAAAACTCGTTCATCTGTCTATGTTTTGTGTTATTATAATCAACTGTTTAAATTAATAAAATAATTAATAAAAATAACAAACAGAATATCCACTAACACATATCACATATCCACTTAAAAACTGATTCGAAATCTCTTGAATAGGTTGTGTTGTCATTCTTTTTCTTATCTTCTTTTTTTGTTTTTGAAATTAAAGTTCTTTTTCTTCTGTTTTTTAATTTTTTCTTTTTTTTTATTTGTGTTATTTATTACGTTTTAAAAAAAAATAAATTTTTTTTTTTTTTTGTAATAAAAATCTTTTGTTAATCTTCATTTCCATTGCTTTTTAAAGTAACTTGAGTTTTTTTCCATATTTTAGTGTAAGCTATAAATGAAATCATTCGAAGAAGCTTTTTTAAGACAAATCTGTTTTATTTTCAAAAATAATAATGATATTTTTTGAACAGAATTTCCCGGTAAATTTAAGAAATACAAAGGAATATGATAAATTGACAATAAAATCTCAATCTAAGAATTTGACTAATCTACATAAAAAAAAAATAAAAAATATTTTAATAAAAATTAGCAGAAAATCCTGAAAAATTAGAGGAAAAAAAGAATTAGAAGGAAAAAAAAGGAAAAGTAAATAATGCCAAAAAGAGCATCATTTGAGAACCCTTTTTGAAAATCTAAAATCAAAATTTTTTATGATTTCACCAAGACGACCATTAACGGATGACATCAAATTACAAATAATAAATGAAAAAGAGCAAAATGGATCTTCAGTATATGCCATTGCTAAGAAATTAGGTAGAAGTCCATCTACAGTACGATGTTTTCTAAAATGTTATGGAAATGACCATCAATTATCAAGAAAAAGAGGAAGAAAACCAAAATTAACAGATGAAATTGAAGAATTTATTGCACAATTTTCTGATAATAAAGACATTTCTTGTAGTAAAATTGCTGCTGAAATTAAAAAGAAATTCCCTGATGTTTCACTTTCAAAAGAAACTGTTCGTGTTATAAGACAAAAATTACAAAAAGGAAATAATGACCTTGAAACACCAAGTTCAGGAAGAACTTCTCATTATGGTGAATTTGAAAATGGGGTTTTTATTGGAAGGTTTACTCAAAAAGATGACGATGAAAGAAAAGAATTTGCAGCAAAAATTCTTGAATTAAATAGACCAATTGTTTTAAGTTCAACTGCTATAATAGGAGTTGGAGAAAATGGTGTTTTAACTCGTTGTAATAAAGGAGAAATGCCTGTGTTTACTGCTTTTACTGCTAAAGGAAAATTATTAGAAATAACAGTATGGGGAGCTATAGCCAATGGATGGAAATCACCTTTAATTAATATTAAAGGTGATATGTTACTTGGAGAAGCATTAAAAAATTATGGTATTTCTGATGAAGTTTTAGAAAAATTAGGTCCACATGTATTTCTTGACGAAAGGATGTTAAAAGGAGAAATTTTTCCTTTTTTAGAATTCTTTCCTCATGATAGTTCTGATTTAAATCCTTTGAATGACTTGTTCAGTAAAATACAATTCGAAGTTAAGAATAGACAATTTAGAAATGAAGAAGAGTTAATTAGTTTTGTTGAATATTTATGGAATATCATATCCATGGATGACATCCAAAATTATATTCAACAATTTTATGATAGAATTAACCATTGTGTATTTAATCCTTGTGAAGGTTGTAGATAAATCATTTAAAATATATCTCTTTGTATAACACTCTGTTTAATTTTCAACAATTGTGTTTTCTCATTGCTAATTATTACGTTTAATATTTTTCATGACGTTATTAAAAGAATATTATGTTCTTTTTTTTTGGTAAAATGGAATTTGTTTCTATTTTTTAATTTTAAGTCGTTATTTTCCTTTCATATGTTATACAAACAATTATATTTTATATCAAAATTATTATTTTCACAAAATTTATATTCATTTTTATTGGTTTTTTTTTATTGAATTATTAAAACTAACTCAAGTGTTTTACTATTCCATTTTTTTTATTTTAATAGTTTTTAATATTAATTCATTAAATTCTTGATATATTAATTTTAAACTTCTATAATGAAAATTAATTTGTAGGTTTTATTAAATAATTTATGTTATATCCATTTTAAATTCAAAAAAAACAGTTTTATTAAAAAAAAAGAAATATCAATCATTTTAATAATAGTGTCATTTCCAAAAAAAAATTGAGGTAAATTGAAACAATTAAGGTTATTTAAACCAATTTAAGTTATCAATATAACTCATAAAAGGAAAAATATGGTGTTTATATAAGAGAGTTAATTATGTGTATATAACTTATGAAATAAGAATTTTGTGTCAAATATAAAACTAAATCAATTTAATTTTTTGAAAAAGATATTTGTTATAAGAATATAAACTCTATTCTTTTTTACAACTTTATTCATCTCATTTTTTGATATCTAAAAGTATTTTAATAACTTTCATTCTTTTTATTATTAATTGGTTCATTACATATAGTACTTCCATCTTTGTTATATTTTATTGTTTATTAATAAACTCAATTGTCATAAAACGTTGTCAACATCAAGAACATTCTTATTACATCAAACGTTATAAAAGTGATAAAGATGAAATGAAAAATACAATAGAATTGTTAGTTATTCTAACTTTCACTTCACATAAAAAAAAACAGAAAGAGTTAAAGAAATAAATACTTACAAATAAGAAACAAATGAAAACAACAAAAACGAAAAGTCATATCACTTCATTATTGAATATTTCTATTTCATTAACAAATTCATATTACTATAAACAAGAAGTGTTTTTATAAGAACAATAATGTTAATAATACATTCAAACAACAATACCATAAATATAAATCTTTATTGTTTAATTTATGTTAATTATAATAAAGTAATTATAGAATTTTGATGTTTATACAATAAAATAAAAGGTAAAAAAACATTAAACTAAAAATTTTTCTTAGTCAACTGTTTATTATAAAACACATATTTTTTAATTATTTATAATAAAACCATATAATTTAATTAAATAACAAATTAATTTAATCATTTAATATTAATTGCATACAAAAAAAAAAGAAAAAACTGAATAATTCCAAAAAAATACTTCTAAACTTAAAAATAACCAAATGAAATAAGTCATTTTTATTAATAATTAAAATTAAATTAGTAATATTATTGTTATAAAAAACCAATAAAAATAAAAGAATGAAGCTTTTGTAATTAACGTTTTTAATACAAACATCCACCATCAGTTAATACTGGTTCTTTCTCAAAGATAATATCATTTCCACAAGTCTCTTGTTTAGTAGCACCAGATGGGCAAGTAATAAATTGTGGATTAGCTTTTGTAGAAGTAGTAACCATAGTACATGCTCTTAATTCACTAATATATTTACCACTACAAGTGAAATAAACAGCTCCTTCAACTCCAAGTTCTTTAGCAGCTAATTCTTTTAACCATGATTTTTTATATGATGTTTTTCCATCAGCAACAACTCCTGCAGCTTTGAAAACTTTCCAGAAATCATGATCAGTTAACATTTTAATAGCTGTCATAGCATAATCTTTTGGTCCAGTAGCTCCATTATAAACATCACTTACACAAGTTCCATGTTTATCATATTCATAATTGAAGAATTTACATTTTGTTAATGAAGCCCAATTGTATGATAATGCTTCCATAAATTCTGGATCATTTTCAATCATTTTAGAAACTTGAGCATCAGTGTATGGTGATTTACAACATGATGGATATCCACTAACAAAGTTTGGCCACCATCCATGAAGAGTAAATCCTGGTTTAGTAGCCATAGTAGTTTTTGGTAAATCACAACACTTGCTATGACAGAATTGTCCTGGCCATGTTTCAACTAAAAGAAGATAATCATATGAAACAGCACAACTATTTGATGAACACATAGCAAAATCTTTATGAGAACATTTAGCGTTAACTAAAGCAAGAAGTAATAAACACAATGAAATCATAAAATTGATATAAACAGTTAACGTTATTTAGTTTAAATATTAAAATGAAAAATTCGATAATATTCATTGTATTAAAACAGAAAAAATTCGTATTTTCTTTCTCCTTCTTTTTTTCTTTATTTTTGTAAAGTTACTTTTCTTTTTTATTTGATTTTTCTCCATTAGAAGGTATAGTTTTTTTCTTTTATTTTTATTATATTTAATTACCAGGAAGACATCGGAAGAAATTACTTCTTCTCAATCTTATTTATTTTTTTAAGAAAGTTTATTCTTTTTGGAACATTTCTACTTTTATTAACAAATGAAAGTTATTTCCTAAAAAAAAGCTATGGAACTAAACACAAAAGATTTAAATAAACTTGACTAGACTAATAAAAAGAAAATAATTTAGTTCATTGAGTACAATTGATCAATAATAGTTTGATACTTTTGAGCAATTGCAGGTCTTTTTAATTTTAATGCTGCAGTTAGCATTCCATTCTCGGAGTTCCATTCTTCACTAATTAAAGCAATACGTTTAACAACTTCTCTTTGAGATAACCCAATTTCATTTTCTGCCATAATTTTTCTTACTGCTCCAATAACTTCTTTATCCTTACATGCTTCTTCAAATGGTTTTTGTGTCATTTCAGCAATAATATTTCTATTTGGTATTACTAAAGCAATTGTAAAGTCATGGAAAGCATCAGCAAAGACACAAATAGTATCAACTACTTTAGATGTTAAGTATTTAGACTCAATCAGTTCTAAAGAAATATATTCACCACACGGTTGTTTAACAATATTCTTTTTTCTATCAATAATACAAATATGATGGTCTTCAGTAATTTTTGCAATATCACCTGTACAAACCCACCCATCTTCAGTAAATGTATTTTTTGATTCTTCTGGTCTATTAAAATATCCTTTTGATACAGGAGCTCCTCTTAACATTAATTCTCCTCTAGGTGGGTTGTCAGTAGTTAAATAATTTAATTCAGGAACATCTCTTAATTTTAATTCATAATGAGGGAATAATAATCCAATAGTAGCTTGAGTTGGATCTCCTGGAACCATACAACTAGAAGCACCACATAATTCAGTCATTCCAAATCCTTGTAGAATATTAGTTTTAGCACATGTAATAGTTAAGAAAGTTTGAAGTTCTACAGGAAGAGCTGACCCACCAATGATAATTGTTTTTAAGTTTCTTCCAAATAATGATACTTTTAATGGATTGAAGATGAGACTATCTATAAATTTAACTATTGGCTCAAATAGTAATGGTGTTCTTAATTGATATGACACATAAAGTAAATTCTTTAATTTCATACAACCAAAGAATAAATTTTGTTTGAGTGCTGGTGCTCTAGATACACTCTCTAATATAGCTTTACGAATTCTATTAAATACTGTTGGAACTCCAATAACTAAGGTTGGTTCTAATTCACATAAATCAGATTTACAATTAGTACATCCAACACTCATTAATGTACGTGCATTGGCATATCCAATACTTCCAAAGAAAGATAAAATACAAAATTCTAAACACAATTCAAATATATGAGCCAAAGGTAAATAAGCAACAAATACTTCATCTTTTAACTCTAAACAAACATTAAATGCTTGTGCTAATAATAATATTTGTTTTTGTTCAACTAAAACTCCTTTAGGCTCTTTAGTAGTACCAGATGTATACATAATAAATGCAAGATCATTTGGTGCAACAGAAGGCATAGCTTCTTCATTTTCTTCACTTTCACTAAGTTCTTTGAATGTAGTATATTCTCCTTCAAAATGACCGTCAATACTAATAATTTTAACTTCTTTATTTAATTCAATTTTCTTCATCTTTATTCCTGTTTCTTCACTAACAATTAATCCAACACAATTAGTTTCTTCCAATGCAACTTTAACAGACTCTTCTCCTAATGTTGCATAAACAGTAACAAGTGTAATTCCTTGTCTTGCACAAGCCAAAGCCATAGCCATCCATTCAAATCTTGTTTCACAAAACATTCCTATTTTATCTCCTTTTTTAAATCCTTTAATTCTAAGACCATTAGAAATTCTACATATTAAATGATAAAACTCTTTTGAAGAATACCATACATAAGGAGACATTTCATATTGATATATTTCTTTTCTAATTTCTTTTCCATTACATTTTTCAATAATTGTTTTAGCTACAATTTTATTTTTAAGCTCTCTATATCCAATAAATTGTTTTTTGTCTTTCTTATTAAATCCATTTACTAAATCAGCAATTGTCTCATTTCCTTGTGGTGTTGAGTCAACCAATTTATCTATTCCCTTATACCCTCTTAATATTCTGGTTTCTCCCTGTTTATTTTCTCCAACCCATTCTCCTTCTTTTTCTTTATTATATTTTTTTGGTCTAATGAAGTAGAGAATAACAAGTGTTACAATAATAATGAGTGATAAAGTATTAAGGATCATATGAAATATTGGATTTAAGTTCTTTTTCATAGTTCATCTAATACGCTCAATAATTAAACCTAAAAAGGTATTTTCCTTTCTCGTTGAAGTGAATTTTTAGAAAAAAATCATCTTATCTTTTTGTGAGAAGGTTATTACAAAGTTATTTTTATAAATTATTAATTTATTACTATTATAAACTATTCTCGCACTCTTTCAAGAATAAATCAGAAAAAAGGACAAAAATAAAAACCAGAAATGAATCGTTTTTATGACAACCGTTTAACAAGTAATTCCATTAAATTTTAAAGACGGTTTAAATGCTTCATAATACTTTTAAGTTCTCTCTCATTTCTCTTTATGCTAGAACATTTACATGGTACGTCTGGGACTTTGTGGATACATGGACATCCTCTTCTTTTAATAACATGTTTTTTATGTGATTTATTCTTTTGTGTTTTAATAGTAAGCTTTGATGTTTCGATATGTTCTGGTAATTTAAATGGTTCTGGTTCAGGTATTTTAAATGGCTTTTGTTCTTGTTTTGGGGTATTAGGTTTTGTAACAGTTCTTTTGACACTAACGTTTTCTTCTGGAATAACTTCTTTAGTTTTAACTCTATTTTTTACAACAGTCTTTTTAGTTATAACCTTTTCTTCTGGAACAGTCTCTGTAATAATTTTATCAGCTATTTGTTTGTCTTTCTTTTCTTTCTTATGTTGTTGTTTTTCATATACACGAACAATCTTAACTGCTTGACGTTGTTCTTTCTGTTCTTCTTGTTCATTACTAAGAACTCCTCCTTTACCAACTTTCTTCTCAAGATTTCTAGATTCTCTCTCAGTTTTAACAATATCGTTTTGTTCTTTTTTCTCAGCAACTTTTTGTTCTTTCTTCTCAGAAGTTTTTTCTTTTTTATTGTCATTGGTATTAGTGATAGTAATAGCTGGCATATTGATTGTTGGCATTTGTGGTTGAGTAGATGTTGCAGATGATGCTGCTGCAGATGAACTAGCACTTGGAACTTGTATTATTTGTGGTTGAGAAGGTGCTGCTGGTTGTTGAATAATTTGAGGAGCCATTTGTTGTTGTTGTTGTTGCTGTTGCATTGGCATAATACTTGGTTGGCTTGATGGTTGTACGATAATAGGAGATGCTTGTGCAGGGGCAGAAGCAGTTGCTCCAGAAGCACTTCCACTTGGAACAGGATATGGTACTGGTTGAATTACAGAACTACTTGGTTGAATTACAGGAGCACTTGGTTGAACACTAGTGGCAGCACTAGATCCTGCACTTCCAGATGGATATCCTCCACCATTAACATTATTATTGAAAACAGGATTTACTTGTTGTCCTGCACTTGACCCACTATCAGATCCACCAGCATATCCACTATCAGATCCACCAGCATATCCACTATCAGATCCACCACCTACATTAACAGAGGCACTTGCAGAAGCACTTGCAGAAGATCCACTACCTGATGAACTTCCAGATCCACTACTTGATGAACTTCTTGATGAACGTCTAGAGGATCTTTTTGATTTACTATGTGATGATGAGCCACCACTAGTTTTTTTGTAACATCCACAAGAAGGTGGTTTTTGTGCCATACAAGTTTTACAACATCCACAAGATTGAAGTGCTTTGAACCAACATTGACTCTTTAATCCATCATATAACTTTTTCCTAACATCACCTGCTGCGTTCTTAAGTGCTTTACTAATTTTACTTTGCATCTTTTTCCATTCTTTTTTGAAAACAGAACTAGCCCCTTTCATAGTAACTTTACCTAATTTTTTAAATTTATCAGCCATTCCTTTTGCTTTCTCTTTCAATTTATTAGCAGTTTCTTTGAATTTCTTTTGAGCTTTCTTAGACATTCCTTTGATTCCTTCACTTATCTTCTTCTTGGCATCAGAATATTTCTTCATAGCCTTTTTTCCATACTTCTTAATATTCTCTACTGCTTTCTTTCCTTTGTCTTTAGCTGATTTGAGTACTTTAGCACCTTTCTTTTTTAAATTATCAACACCCTTCTTCAATGCATCTTTTCCTTTCTTTAAAGCGTTCTTTCCTTTATTTATCATATCCTTTCCTTTTTTCAAAGCACTCTTTCCTTTATTAAGTAATTCTTTACCTCCTTTCTTAATTGAATTTATTTTCTCTTTAGCAGCATTCACTCCTTTCTTAACAGCACCCATTCCTTTTTTAGCAGCGTTTTGAACTTTCTTAACAGCACTTACTCCTTTTTTAGCAATGCTTTGAACTTTCTTAACAGCACTTATTCCTTTGTTAGCAATGCTTTGAACCTTTTTAACAGCACTCACTCCTTTTTTAGCAATACTCTTCCCTTTTTTAACCATTGAAGTTACCTTACCGAAAAGACTTTTCTTTTTTTGAGCTGGTTTTTTAGTTGTTGATTTCTTTGGAGTTGATTTCTTTGGAGTTGATTTCTTTGGAGTTGATTTCTTTGGAGTAGACTTCTTAGGAGCTGCTTTCTTTGGGGCAGCCTTTTTAGGAGCTGCTTTCTTTGGGGCAGCCTTTTTAGGAGCTGCTTTTGCTTTGTCATCTTCAAGATTGTATTCGAATGAACTATCAAAATCATCAGTGTCAAACTCTACTAAATCCTCTTCAACTAAATCGTGATCATCTTCTAATTTTACGTCTGCATCAGTTACATCAGTAAAAACATAATCTATTGATGCTGACAATGACAGTGTTATAGTGAATAACAGTAATAGAGCTGTCTTCATATTCAAAAAGTATAACTTTTCAAGATCTTTAACTTATTTTACTTTTCTTTTTATTTTTTTTATTCTTAAAAATCAATGAAATAAGGTAGTGAATTTTTTTAATATTTTAATATTTTTTTATAATACATAACATCAAATCATTTTTAAATTGTTTTTTTTACTATTTTTTACTATTTTTACTTTGAGAGATCGAAGGTGGCACGTCTGAAACACCACACATAAACCCTAGTACAAATTCATACTTCGACTCTCCCAGTTATTATCTGGTTATGACGGTGCTTTTGAATTAGGAATGTATTAGGGAATGCTGCAAAGGGTGCAGCAAGAGAATACAATAGAATATTACATGGATGTAATATAAGAAACTACTGAAGTGTGGGTATGACTAAAAGAAGATTAGTCAAAGTAAGACTAAAAAGAAGATTAGTCAAAGTAAGACTAAAAAGAAGATTAGTCAAAGTAAGACTAAAAAGAAAATTAGTCAAAGTAATATAGTAGTAATGAAACGATTCCTTCTCCCATTCATAAAATAAGAAAAATGAAATTCCTTAAAATTAAGGCAGAAAACAAACAAAGGCTTAAAAAGAAGAAATAAGCAGAAGAAGTTTGAAAAACCTTAATAAGAAGAAATAAAGCAAAGAAGTGGTTTCCTCATTTTGCAAGACAAACCTAAATGATAGGTTAAACAAAGAGATTACTCTTTTTTAATAAGCTCAGGGATGGGATTAGTCTCCCCTGAGCTAGGAAGAATAGATGAAAATTCTATTAATACTTAATTAACTAATTTTTATTACTATTTTTACTTTGTTTCTTTTTCCTCATTTTCCTGTTCTTTTGTTGTTTTTTATTTTCATCTATTTTGATGGATATTCTCCTGTTAGAAAATTTAGATTAATGACAAACATTTTAATAATATCCCAAAAATATTAATTGTTCAAAAAACATTTGAATATTGATTTTTTATGACTTGCAGAAAGGAATTAAAAGGTTCAGTAGAATATCAATATGGTTTTAGTCAAACAACCTTATCTCAATGAATATTTAAAATGTTTACTCAATAAAGAATTATTTTCTTTTTTTTAAACAACCAAAAAACTAAAAATATGTAATGTTAATAATAAGAATAGAAGACAAAGAAGTAACGACATAATAGAATATACTTTTTATTCTCAAAAAGATTAAAAATTACAAATTAGTTTATTGTATAATACAAAATAACTGGAAACAAAAAATTAAGAAAAAATATTTATGTTCAATGAACTATCAGAATTAAATATATAAATACCATTATACTGTACATATTTATAGTACAATATTATAATTGAAAATTTAATTTAATATAGAGGAGTTATGTGTTGAAATATTTCAAGTTAGATTCACACTCAAATAAACAAATGAAATAATTGATGTTTTTGTTATTCACACATTTAAGTCTTTAATGAACTATTGAATAGAATATTAAGTATATATTTTAATATTAATATGGATAATCAGTTATAAATTCATAAAACAAAAAATTATACAAAGAATAAGTCATTGACTCATATTTGTTTATGGTGTTTTATTAAAAAGAGCAGAATTAATTTTTATAAATAATAGAATTAATATAAATGAAAATTTTAAATGATTCATGGAATTAAATATTATTGTTATTGAAATATATAATATTAACAATATTATCAGAAAACTAATTTCAAGAATATAAGATAAATAAACACTTTCTTCTTAAACTATTATAATATAACATTATGCTATGAACAATTATAATACATTAATTGTATAAATTTATCTAAATGTAATCTAAAATAGTATATTAAAATTGATAAGAAAATTACTATTTAATATATTTTTTTCAAATATCCAATAAGGTATTGAAGAGATTAATTGAGAATGGTTGATATATACAATATTAAAAATTAAAATTATTGATAATTTAATTCCAAACAAAGAAATCATAACATATTCAAAATAGACATAAAAGGTATTAATATTTGAGTTAATTTATGAACAAAAAGAAAATTCATTAATTAATATTTATATAACCAGAAATGAAAAGTGTTCACTTAGACTAAATATAAATTAAACAGTTATGCTATTTTAATATATCGTGATGACTATTTTAAATAAAAATATACATACTCAATTAAAAATAACTCCTTTTCTAAGTTCATATGATACGATAAAAAAAATACAAAATAACCTGAGTAGTGATTTACTAATTGGAAATTAATGAAATTAAAATAATATATCATTAACACATACTATTCTGATAATAAATATATGAAATTAAAACTTGTTATAATGAAGAAGTAAAGATATAAAATTAATACTTTTTTTTAAAATAGATATATGAAAATTTAGTTTCTACAAAAGTAATATATTAGAAGAAGCAAAAAAAAATACAGAAAAGAACAAAATGAAGCATAGTGTAGTATATTGTGTTGAAAATTAAGATAAAAAATTAATAAATGACTAATGGTAAAGTATATTATAGATAGTAAATAAGACTATTCATATAAATAAAGAAAATTTAGCACTATTTATATGTAAAGGATATTGAAAAAAAATCCTAAATATGAGTAACACACTTTTTAATTTTAAATGAAGACACAATAATTTACTAATAAAAAAGTAAAACATTGAAAAAAATAATGAAATAACACCAAATAAAGAAGAGAGTAGTTAAAAAAATTATTTATTCAACTTATTAAAATAAATGTGAATATGTTGAAAAAAAAAGATATACCAAGTTATTACAGAAATACTTTCACCAATTTTTAAAAAAGAAATGGTTGAGTCAATTACTGTTTATTATTGATTTAGTTTTTTTTCTTTTTTTTTTGTAAACTTAAAAATAAATAAAATAAAGTAGAATGAATATTTGGTATGAAGGAAACATTTCAGATGAAATTACAAAAGCATTTACTGAAAATAAAATAATTGTTATTATTGCTATTAATGATAACGAAGAGTCTCTTGTACTTAAAAATCTAATTGAGAATAACGTTTGTTTTATACATTTTTTGTGTGAAATAAGGAGTATTAATATTATAAAAGTTATCCACAATATTTACTACCAGTTGTTCTGGTATTTTGATAAAAGAAAATACAGAAAATATGACTTTTTTCAGACAATTATGTTTGTGACAATTTTTGTTTCTATCTCTTTACAAATAATTAATGACAATTAGACAAAAACAAAGTTACTTTCCCTTCTTTATTTTTATTTAACAAAAATGGACTATCTACTGTTTTAACTGGTGAAAAATTAACAGTCCCTGAAATCACATCATCTATTGTTCAATGTGCATTAGTCACGTTACCATCTCCACAAAACCAATCAAACATTAGCAAAAAAGAAAATACACCAACAAAAGCTTTATCAACCGAAGTCTCTCTCCTAGAAGAAACACCAGATTCAGAATACATCATCCAACAAAGGAGAAAAGAAAGTCAAGAATTAGAACATGAAGAAAAAATGAGAAGAGAAAAAAATCGTCAGTTATTAGAAGAAAAACGTAAAAGAGAAGAAATTAAACAGAGAAATGAAGAAATAGAAATGAAACAACAAGAGTTGAGTGATAAAAAATATGCAGAACGTGTCACGTTAGAAATCCTTGCTGAAAAAGAACAACAAAAACAGAAAGTTAGAGAAGAAGAATTAAGAGTTAGAGAAGCAGAAGAAAAGAAAAAACAAGAAGAATTAGAACGAAAAAATGAAATGAAAAAGTTTGTTCAAGTTGCTTTTAGACTTCCAAGTAGTGAAACAATTAAACAACCCTTTGAAAAAACAGATACTCTAGCAGACTGTTTTGCATTTCTTGAAACAAAAGGTTATAAGAAAAGAGAAATTGAATTATTAAATTCATTAAAAAGAACTCCCTTAAATGATGAAAAACTTAAGTTGGAAGTATTTTATCCATCTATTGTTATCTATGTTGTGAAAAAGAAAGAGTTAGGAGTTGTTAAAAAAGCAGAAAATAAATCATCTAATCCAAGTGATCGAGTAATGGAACAAGATCAAGAGTTTCAACAAAGAAATGGATATCAAGCTTTAGACCAACAAGAAACTCCACAAGAAAATGTACCAAAAAATAAATTTCTACGTTTCATGAAGGGATTTTTAACAGGAAAATAACAACAATTTAATATTTTTGTGTTTTTTCTTAGAGACTTTGACAGTTTGATCAAAATAAGTTGGTAGTGAGTATTCTAAATAGTTCGGTTTTATTCTGTTATACGGAAAATCTGCAAAATTGTTTGAATTATCAAACGAAATTAATGGAACCAAGTCGTTTCTTTGAACCATATTCAAAAAAACACACTATATTTCTCCTTAATTATCAAGCACTACAACCAATTCTTAACACCATTTCAGCACAAGTTATTTATTCTCAACCTTATCCAACCCCTTTAGAAATTCAAGCTGTATCACCAATATCAGAATTATTAATTAAACATATTTCGTATGTAATTGTTCAACACCCTAATATTCATCAAGCATTATTACAATTAGTACCTTCAGTTTATAATGATGAGACATATTTTTGGGCTCGTTATTTTAAATTATTATTTTTAAAATCAAATAAACTTGGAGAATATTCAACATTTATAAGAGTGAGAAATACAGATTTTATTCCTCAATTACAACATTTAATGTATCTTAAAAAATCATTATTAAAAGATGAAATTAATGATTGGGGAAGAGTTCCACTTGAAAGTGGAGTAACATTTTTAGCAAATGTAAGTAATTGTTATGAAATATTATTAGTAAATTCAACATTAGCAAAAGATCTTATTAATACATTTATTTTAAATAAAAATGAAAGTATTAACGTTCATTCTTTTAGAAAGTCTTGGTTAAGCAAAAATTCTGATGAATTTATTTCAATTAAAATTAATCAAATTATTCATTGTTTATATGGAATTAAATCTATTCAATTTCAATTTATTGATTCTTTAATACAAATATTATTAGAAGCATTCGAATTTGAAAGAACATATTTAATTATTCAGTCATTCTTAATTAAAATATTATATAAAGGAATATATCCATTTAATTCATTTCAATTTGATTATTTAATATTATCATTAAATGATCTTGTAAAAAGACACTTACCAAATTATATTATAAAATTAGAAGAAAATGGAATTGAATCAATGACAATTTTTAATGACTTACTTAAACAAATGTTATTACCAATTACAGCTCTTCTTTCAACAGATAAAAAAATGTTATTCTTAGGAAGTATATTAATTTATGGATATCCTTTAGTACTAAATATCATTTTAATAACATTACAACTTTGTAATCATCCCCCTTTAGATGTAGATGATTTTAATGACTTTACTTCTACTTTTACAAGAGAGTTTGACCATATTTTAACACGTGCTTGGTTAAATGATGTTCCACAACATCTTCAATATCATTATTTTGTTTCTTATAGAACAGAAGAAGAATATCCTTCATTTTTTGATTCTGTTCCTCAAACACATCTTCTTCAAAGTATTACTCCATCAATTCTTCCAAATGATTTCTTATCTATTGAAGAAGCTCGCTTATTAAATTCTTTTCTACCAACAAGAATAGGAATTATAGACTTAGAAATTATTTTCTCAACAACAGTAAATGGGTTTTCTTTGACTAATTTGTATTATCAATCTATGTCTAGAAATCCTCTTATTTTATTAATCAAAGCAAAAGGAAAAATTTTTGGAGCATATATGAATGACCCTATTACTATATCATCAAAATATTATGGAAATGGTGAAACATTTCTCTTCTCTTTAAACCCACCAACAAAATACCCAGCAACAATGAAAAATACTTATTTTATTCAAACTGACACTGCAAGATTCGTTTTTGGAGGTGGAAAGTTTGTTCTTCTTTTATTAATTCTATAATTATAACATAATCTTATTCATTAACACTATTAGTGGAGTAGCTGGTCTTTCTTTGGATAAAGAGTTACATTGCTTTAATGCTAAAGTTGATACTTTTGATAATAACTTATTCACAAATTCTTCTTCATTCCTTATTGATAGATTAGAAGTGTGGACACCTACACTTCCTGTTTCAGTACCAACTTCTTTAAATACTAGTGTGTCATCTAGTTGTTCTTCTTCAATAAGAATGTCATTAGATTTGTGATGTGAAGAGAAACTTGTTTTTATTATTTCAAATTATCTTTAAACTATAAAATTTATTATTTTTTATTAAAAAATTAAAAGAAATAAAAAAATCTTAAAAATAAAGAAAAATGCCCAAGTCAAAACCTAAGGATTTTGCCAAAAAGAAAAGTGTCATTGGGCAAAAAAATGCTCCTAAATCACAAACACCTATAGTTAAATCTAAAGTACTTAAAATGAGAGATCAAGCTATTGCAGATGTTTCAAATGAAATTATTGAAGCACTCCGTGGTATTCAATTACCATCTGAAAAATCGAGAGTAAATTGTTTAAAATTGTTTCAAAGACAAATCAAATTATACAATAATCTTCACCCAACTATTATAACAAAGATAATTTCATCATCATTTCCTTTAATTACTGACTTGTCTCCATTAGTTAGAGATGCTGCAATGAAATTTGTTTTAACATATATTGATGTCTTTGGCACAAAAGGAACAAAATTATCAAGAAAGTATAGTGATTTATTATTTACTCAATTAGAACTTGGTTTAAGTCATTCATGGTCATCTATACGAGTTGAAATTCTTCAATTTATTGAGAAAGTATTAACTAAAGGAATTACTGTTCTTTACAACAAAGAAGAGTCTTTAATGAATTGCCTATTAAAATACTCTGAAAATGCTCTTAAATCTGTAACTGATTTTACTATGAAAGATGTTGCTTTAGAATGTTACAATAGATTAAAAGCTGCATATGAAAAAAGAAAACTTGAAGAATTTGAATCATCTAAAATTAAAACAGTTGAAATGAAATTTGAAGAAAAACAATGGTGTGGTGTTGTGTTTGATGACATTACTTTTAACCGTACATTTGTTAATGAATGGGTTTTTTAAAAAAGAGTAAATTGAATGATTGTTGTTTAGACAAACTAAAAACATTAAAGAAATGGTTAGTTATTATTTCCCCTATTTTGGCATTATTAAATTTATAGTATTAATGAAAGAAATGCTAATTATTCTTTATCAATTCACCAAACTTTTAATAAAGAATTAAGTTATGTATAAAATGTAATAAAGGAGGATTGATAAAAAATTTTTAAGTAATAATGAAATTAGTAAATTATTAAGAAATAAAGAATAAAAAGAAATGTTTTTTTTATCAGATGAAATGAAAAAGAAAGATAAGAGATAACAAGAATAAAGAAAGAAGAATAATTAATAAAAATAAAACAAGTTAGCATCTATTAGAATGAATAATAAAGTCTTATTAATAACTATTTAAATAATAAATTAAATTTAAATATATTGGAAAAAAAAAGAAATAAAAAATGATTTGTTTTAAAATTAAACAAACTATTAAAAGGAATGGTAAAATACAATTAAAGAGTCAATGTTAAATATGAAGGGGATTGAATAAAATCATTCATTCCTAATGCTTTTAATTGTTCAGGTAATAACAATTGTTTAGAAAATAATGGTAAAGGAGTTGGTTGAGCAATAGAATTAGAAAGTATTAAAAGATTATTCATATTTTGTTGTAATAATAAAAACACTTCTCCATGAATAGGAGTATTATTTTCTAATGAGACTTCAATCATTTTTAAATAATTTTCATTTTCTTGAATAATAGAAATAACTTGACTTAAATCAACTTGACTATCAGTTTTTTCTGTTGATACACTATGCATATCTATTGACATTGACCCAATGTTTGGAGAAACAGATGTAACTCTTGGAGAAGCTTGACCACTTTCATGATTTGAACTTAAACAAGCAAGTTGTTGGTTTATAATAATAGGTTGATATGAATGACTTAATCCAGTTTTAAGGATTGTTCCAGGTTTAAAAAGGTCTCGTGACATAGATCTTCTTCTTTGACGTTGAATCGATTGTATATCACTACCTTCATAAGCAGAATAATGTCTGTGTTTTGATTTTTTCTTTTTTTGAATTTCAGAAACTTTCATAGTACTTGGTGGTAATGTAACTTGTGTTTCTATTTTCCCTTCTTTTCTCTTATACATTTCATACGGTATTTTTTCTGAATCTGGTAATAATGTCCAATTTGCTCTTGTAGTAATTTGTTGAATGGTTCTTCCATTTAATAGACTTACAAGTCTCAGAATAGTACTAATATTATTTCCTTCACTTTTTAACTTTTCTTCAAGTATTTTTTGTTCATATTCATTCCATTCCTTTTCTCCATCTTCATTTAAAACAAGGTTCTTTGGATCATTTGGCATTTTAATAGCTGGTATTAGATGAACTACCTTAGCATTCATTCGTTTGGATAATAAGAAGAAATAAGTATCTTTTCTAGATCTTTTTTTCTTTCTTTTCATTATTTTTGTTCTATTGATTTGTCAATAAACCATAATTAATTATAAATAAAAATACTTAATTCTCAATCAATGTTTATCATTTTCAAATCTACTTCTTAAATCTGGTTCTATTCTTGTTGTTGATGTCTCTGAATGTCGTGGAATATCTTCTCTCAATTGAAATTCATTTCTAATCCGTTTTTGTCTTAATGGTTGTCGTTCAAAAAGTTTCCGCTGAAGACTGTGATTTGGTTCAATTACATGAAGAAAATTACAAAATCCATGTCTATCACATTCTCCAGATTCATATTGTTTACAACGTGCTTCTTTAAAATCAGTGACATGTGAATAACTTGGTTGTATCATTCTCCCTGCATAATATCGTGCAAGAAGAAATTTCATTGCTTCTGATGCATTCTTTTCATCTCTAAATCTTACATATACATTTCCTGTCATATGTTCACTTAAATTTCTGCAAACAAGCATTTCATCAATTTCTCCATGTTTAGCTAACTCATTGAAAATGTCTTCATAAAAAATATTGAAATCCTTTTTTATTTTTTTCTTTTCATCTTCTGTCATTGAACTTTCTTCTTTGTGGATATATGGATTGTCATATAAATGTGTTAATAATATCGTTCTTGATATTTCTGGTTGAAAATGATTTCTTGTACAACTATCACCATGTCTACATGCTCCAATTTTGAAGAAAAATGCACAATTAACTTTGTCTTTTTCAGTCCCATGAATACTAGCAAGATCTTGTGCCATTGAAGATAAACAATTACTTTATCCTTTTTGAGTTTTTTTTTGTTTTATCTTTTTTTTGTATTTTTTATATCATTTTCTATTTTAGTTCTTCTTTCATTTTGCATTACCTTTCTCTTTAAAATCATTATCAATGCTTCTTTTATGTTTTTTATTAATTTCTCATGAAACTAGTTTTATTCTCACCATTAAATAATTAATTCTTGTTCCTGTAAATTAACTGATTTATCATTTAAATAACTCATTAGAATATATTGTAACATCACATATCAGTTACAGTATAAATAATAAACTTAAACAAAGTCTAAATATGATAGTAAAATTAAATCTATTATGTTGGTTCTAGAAATAATTATAAAGAAAGCAAAGTTTCACTAAAGAGTTAATTTTGGTTGTTCTTTAATATACATCAAACAAGTTTTTCAAAACATTAGAATTGTGTTAATCTCAGAGAATAATTCATATTTGTTTTAATACTTCAATTTAAACAAACTAGTTTGGTGTTATATTTTGGTGTGTGGGTTATAAATTCTTTTATCATGAATTATTAAAACTAGTAACGATGTGATACACCATATTATTAATATTACATTGATAATACATATGGGTATTGAAGTATATAGTTTATAATGCTTCAACACATTAAAACAAACATCTACATGATATGTTTAATGAGGTCAATGTTTAACTAATGATAAATGAAATTGTTTTTTTTACGATTAATATCAAATGTTGTTTATTTGTTTTCTTGAATAAAAGAGACTTTGTTTGTTGAGAGAGGTATGATTATCTTTCATTAAATAGTTATTAGAGGATGAAGAATTAATAAAATGCTTAATTCTTTCATTTTCTATTCAAATACAATAAAATATCTAACCATTGAAAGAAATAAACAAAACCAATTATTTAGTCATTAGCAAATAGAGTAACTCTTTTAAAAGAAATAGCAACCATTAAATTATTCATTTTAAACTCTTCTTGGAGTTTTTTTTAGTTATTTTAAATCAATAACCAGTCTTTCAAAATAACTGATTATTGTACTTGAACTAGTATAATAAACAGTCTCTTGGTGTTAAATAATTTGTTATATGACAAGTAATAACATGAATATTACCATGTTAACATCTATGAAATTTGTTTATGAAACAAATTAAAATGTAAAGATACATTGAAACATGTCATAATTCAATAATGCATCAATTGTTTATGTGGCATTGATTTATAAATCTTTTTATCTAGTTTTTGAAATATTCTATCTAATTGCTTATTAACTAAGTATGTGAGAAGAAGAAAGTCTCATTTCTATACCACAAGATATAGTTCACATTCAAACAAATGACAGACAATTAATGAGTCACAACACAAAATGTCCACCTGAAGCGTTAAGAATAAATAGCTATTTCATAGAAACTCATAGATATGAAAAATAAAATAACATAAAACTGTTAATATCTAAGCTAAACTTCTGCAGTGTTTTTCTTTAGCACAACCACCTTTTCATATCATACCATTTCTATATTATTAAAACATAATATTATTTGAATATGCAAATAGACTATCGAATCGGAACAAGATAAAAACAACAACTTGACAAATTCTTATCTATAGAAATTTTATTATTAAAAACAAATTGATTAACAACTCACTAATAATTGTTAAAGACAAGACTAACAATGAAATAGATAGTGATATTATCACATTCTTCAACCATATTATTATTCAATGTCAGACTCTTGAATTGTGTTGTTTCTTTATAGCTATTAAAGAAAGAAGTTTATTAGAATAAAAGAATGTTTTTAACAAACGAATAAGAAAATAGACAGAACATAGTTATAGACACAAACTGAACTTAAATAAAATACTTGTTCTAAGAGTCTTAATTTAGTATTACCACTTCTTTCGATTCACCCATTTCTTTCTGTGAAGTATTTTTTATGTTTGTTAAAATAATTGTAATAAGCAATATAGCTCAAATCACTGTGTAGAACAATGGTTGAAAATAATTATAGGTTCTACATTACAAGTTATAGAATGTGTCGAAAATATTTTAAATCAGTAATAAAGAATAATTCAAGATGAACTTGACTTCTGAAAGAACAAATGTTAATAATCTGTAATATAAGATTATAGTATTAAATAAGTTAATTATCACTATGTTTTTAATGACAAAAAATTGGAGAAAATAGACCGAGATTATCAAGATGACAAGTCTCAGAAAGACAACACTAAGGAGTGTATTTAAAGAGAAAAAGAGGATTAAAAAGAATGACAGAATTTATGTTTGTTGTTGCAAATAAATATAAATTAGAAAAAAAATTAGGGAGTGGGTCATTTGGAGATGTATATCTAGGAACTGATGTAGAACTTCACAATGAAGTTGCCATTAAATTAGAATTACTCAAATGTAAACATCCACAATTAAAAGATGAGTTTGAGCTATACCAAAAATTAATAGGAGATAAGAAAGAAGAACATGAAGGAATTTCAGGAATCTATTATTATGGACAAGAAGGGGATTTCAATGTATTAGTTATGGATTATCTAGGACCATCATTAGAAGATCTATTTAACTACTGTGGGAGAAGGTTTAGTTTAAAAACAGTTCTTATGCTACTCAATCAGATGTTGAAAAGATTACAATTTGTTCATTCTAAAGGATATATTCATAGAGACATTAAACCAGATAATTTTATTATGGGAAATGGTGAACAATCTCATGTATGTTATTTGATTGATTTTGGACTTAGTCAAAGATATCTGAATCAAAATAATGAGCATATTTCATATTCTGAAGATAAATCATTAACTGGAACAGCTAGGTATGCATCATTAAATAATCATTTAGGAATAGAACAAAGTAGAAGAGATGATATGGAAAGTCTTGCTTATTCAGTTATATATTTACTTAGAGGTTCTCTTCCATGGCAAGGATTACATGTTGCTAAAGGAGAAAATAGATATAATAAAATTTATTCAAAAAAAGTTGAAATTCCTGTTAGTCAGTTATGTGAAAACCTTCCTTCTGAATTTGGTTCATTTCTTTCATATTGTCGAAACTTAAAATTTGATGAAGAGCCAAAATATGACTTTTGGAGACATATTTTTCAACAAGTTGCACAGAATAATTCTATTATATTTGATTATGAATATGATTGGATTATCAAAAGGAAAGCAGAAAAAGAACTTGTTTGAATTAATCAACAACCAAAAGTATATTCTAAAACAGTTTATTTTTAATGTTGATTTGGTTGAGCCAAATACATGAATAATGAATTGATTATAATTCAAATTCATCTGAGTTAAAATTGTAAAGATGTTCAATTCTAAGAATCTCTTCTGCTAGATTAACAATTTCAGTATTGTTTGATGTAGTAAATAAATCTACTTGTTCAAAAACATTTCTTTCAGTTAATTCCAAGATGATTTGAGTATTTTGAGAAGAAACTAAAATGCGAATAATCTCTAATAGATGATAAACTTCATTTGGCTCTAATTGTATAAATAATATTTCAAATATATCAAAAAATTTATCAGTATTAATTAATGTAATAATAAGTTGTGGAATATTTGAAATAATTGTTGTAATTAAATGTATTGTTGAAAATGCTTCTCTACAAACATTAATTGATTGATCAAAAATACATAAGATTGTTGATGAAATGATTTTACTTGGAATTATTATTGAAAGAATAGAATGTGCTTCTTTTTTATCTAATTCACAAAGAGTAGCAAATAAATTTTCTACAGTCCATAAAAATGTTCTAATTGATGTTTCATCTACTAATAGGTTTGAGCGTAAACTTGATCTTGGTGTTTTTATTTTTAATGAATCACTAATCATTGTTGCATAATGAAAGAGTATTTCTATTGTTGGTTTAATAAATAAAGAAATTAAAGTTGGATGATCGGTTGCATAAATAGTTCCTATACACTGAAAACAAGCTAATGAAGTTGGTGCTTGACTAATAATATTTTGGAGAGTAGAAATAATCATTTTATCAATAATTTCATTTGACATACTTAAAAGTAATTGAGTACAAATAACCCCTTCCTCACATACTTGGAATTTTGTGACTATTGGAATAAGTTGACATACTTTACTTACTGAAATGAATGGTCTTCCTTTGAGAAGTGCTTCAATTAAATGTCCAACACTACCATTAATTATATCTCGTGCCAAAATTATTTCAATTAATTTAACATGAATAACTTCATCTCTTAATTGAATATCATCAGCAACCATATTAGATAAACAATCCAATGACTATATTTCTTAATATTTAATTACTTTTTTTTTAATCTACAACATAATTATAAAAACAAACAGTATTATAAGTGTCTTCATTCTGATTAGGAAGAAGTTCAATGATAAGAAAATGAAGATTAAATTTTTTCATAAGCTCTATAGTATTTTTGTCTTGAGAAACTACACATTAACTCTATTTTTTGAATATTACCAAGAACATCTGATAATAATCAATATTAACAAACATTGATAATACATTTGAATAATTTGACATTTTATAGAATTGGTATTACTTTCTTTAATAAGAAACATAGAATCTTGAATGATTTTGCTAATATTTAATTGTTGTCGAATACATTCACTTTGAAAACATTGAATTATCTGCTGAATTGTTGTTGTTTCATCATCCCCAATATCTCCATTCAGATGTATACTCAATTCACTAATGTTTCTATCATTGATAACACATTCATCCTCTATATCCCTTTTTCTTTGGAGCAGTGAATTCCTTTTATTCATTCTAAGAGTATTGATACTTAACTCTCTTATTTTACAACATTCAGCCAACGAGTCACTTTTTCTTCTGAACATCTGAAAAAAAAAAAAAGAAATTTGCTTTTCAAATTCAGTTCTTAATCTTCTTTTTTTGTTGTAAAAACCATTTATTTGAGATAAATAACAAAATTAAACTACTTAGTCTAACAATCTCAATCTAATTGAATAAAACTCTGCTAATGAAGGAATTTCAAGGTTATTCAATAATATTGAAATGTACTTTTCATAAACCACACGACATAATTCTCTAAAGGTTGTAACATTAATTGGTGATTGAAATATAATTGTTTTTAAATTGACTTCAATTTGTTCATCAAGATTTACCATATTTTCTGCTAATAATACATTAAGTAATAAAGCACTCAACTCGATATAATTTCCTTTTAATAAAATTCTGATTGCATCAATAAATCCACCTACTTTCATTAAATTAATTGCTGCTGGAATATAATATCCTTTTCCTAATTGTTGAACAACATAAGGAATATAAATTGAAGGTACTGTTTTATCCAATGGCAATAATGTTGTTGATGCATAAGCTGCTTGAAAAACTTTTCCTGTTTGAATCATCAATTGACAAGCTGATTGATAATTTCCTATATTTTCTAGAAGATGAATTGCTTCTTCTTCATGTCTAATATTTAATAATTCATCAATGACATCATTTATTGTATTTTCTAATAATTCAGGATGCGTTGTAGATGCAAAAAGAGTTGCACATAATCCATATTCTATTTTTTGTGTTTTTTTCAACATATCAATATATTTACCAATCATTGAACAATCAGTACCAAAGACTAATTCTAATTCATTTAATTTACAACTTTTTTCAACATCATTTATTTCTTCATCTTCTTGGATTGCAATTTCATATTTTTCTAATCTTAATTTTTCTGTTTCATCAATTAATTTAGTATCAACAAATAATTCAGGATATAATCCATATGGTGGTGGTACAACATCTTTAATTTGTGGTACAATTCGTTTATTAACTTTTATACTATCATTTAAAAATAATTTATTATTTTGTCGAATAATATTTTGATATTGTTCATTACTATCTCTTTGTTTTGCTTGTTGAATACATTTATTTGTTAATTTCCAAAATTCATTAAGTTGGGGATATTTTAATAATTCTGTAATTTTAATATATTGTTCTATTAATGTTATTTCTGTTTTATTAATTATTGTTATATATTCATTATATTCATTTTTCATAGTGTTTGTTTTTATCCATGTTCCTTCACAAAGTTTTTGTTTATCATTTTCATTTGTAATAAAATCAATATTCATATGGTACTTATTAATTATATTTGAAAGTATTGTTTCTTCTGTAAATCCATGTAACATAATACTCATTACTTTTCTAAATATTTTAGATGGAAGAAGATGTAATGGTGTTGTTTGAGAATTATCTTTCATTTCTACTTTTTCTTCATCTGGAGAATAAATCATAACTTGTTTTGCATGAGTTAAAACAACAGGTATATCTCCTTTGACCCAACACATATCAATGACTTTAATTCTTCTTTGTTGTAGAAATACATTGAAATCATTATTTAAACGACCAGTAGAATAATCATAAATAAAACAATTTTGATTTTGTGTGATAATTCCAATCTTTTTTGTTTCTTCTTTTGGACATGGAATAATGTTAATAATCTTTTCATGTACTGGAGAACGTTTATCAAATTCATTAACCTTATTATTTTGAAGTTGATTTATTTCAACGTTATAGATAATATTCTTACTATCAACAAAAATATATAATTTCTCTGAAAAATTTGAAAGAACACGTATTTTTGATGAATGAGTATATATTTTTTCACTTGTAGCTTTCCCTTTATTATATCTAATAATTAATATATCTTTATCACTTGTACATAAAAATGAACATTCATTTATTTTATTTTTAATTGGAACAATACAATGAACTTGAATATTAATATGTATTGGTTCTAACTTATATGAATCACTCTTATTTTCCCAAAATTGAATTTTACTGGTATATACAAAAACAGACACTAATCCATTTGAAGAAATTATTACTTTCCTAATCTCTTCTTTAGACGTAGTAAGAGAACTTAAATAAGAACAACCTCTTTCTTTCTTCTCAGGAAATCTCATGATTCTATTTTCATTAAATCCAGGAGAATATTCACTTTTATTTCTTTTTTCAACTCCATAAAGAATAATTGATTCATTTAAACATGTTATTCCTCTAATTGGACATGCAATATTAGGTGCTTTCATATTAGTTAATTTTTGATTATCAACATCCATTAAATACGTTTCTCCTGTTTCTGTTCCAATACATAAACTCGTTTGATTATAAGGAACTAACACAGTTGCTTGACATGAAAAAGAACAATCAGAAAAAGTAATATTAAAATCAGATCCATCATCACGAAGAATACTAATTGATCCATTTTGTAATTGAATACAAATATCATTATTAATTGGATTTCTTATTAAATGAAATATTGGTGGTAATTTCTTTGGTGTATTAGTAGTTGTTGTTATTTTATCAATGAAAAGTTCATCCACATTAATTTGATATTGTTCTACATATCCTTCTGTATTAAATATATTTACTTTACTTTCATCTAGAGAAAAACTGAATATAGATGGTGATTGTGTTAATAAAATAGAACCAATAGTATTTGTTAAAACAGTATCAAATATAACTAATTCTGATGATGTTAAAAGTAATAATTTTTGTGGTGTTTTAGAATAATAAATAGATTTAATGATAGTAATATCTCCTGATTTAATATTAGATGGACAAGTATATATCTCATAAACAGTCATTTGTTTTGTTGAAATAAGAAATACTTCATACATTGTACAAACACAAATTTCATCAGGATCAAATGGACTTTGTTCAAATGATATTGGATTTATAATAGAATTACTTTCAATATATTTAACTGCTTGTCCTGTGATAGAATCATAAAATATTATTGTTCCATTTCCAAATAATGAAATAAAAATATTTGATGCATTTTTATGCCATCGTAAACATTTAACAGGTGTATTACTAACATTACTATATGAAATTAATGGTGTATTATTAAAATAATCCCATAATATAATATTTCCTGCTGCATCTCCACTAATTAATTGAACATTTCTTTTACTATATGGTATTTCAAATGGATAATTGTCTTGAAATTTAATGGCAGTAATATCTTCAATATGATGATTTAATACATTGATAATAATAAAACTAAAACTATCCATTACAATTACATTTGTTCTTGATCCAAATGCTATAACTCCATAATTCCAATCAATTGCTCCTTTATTATTTTCACTTAATGTTTTAATTCTTTGACTATTTTTTTTCTCTTTATTACTTCCAAATGAGACATTAAAAACATTAGCAAAACGTGACATGTCTCTTCGTATCTCAAACTCTTTTTAAGTTCTTTTTCTTTTTATTCATTCATTTTCTTAAAAAAAAAAAATAAACAAAAACAAAAAATTAAATAATTATATCAAATTGTGTTATTGGAAGATCTAAAAGTATAATCAGAACTTGGAAAAGGTGAACATCTAATAAATCAATGACTGAACAAACACAACAACCAGTCTTTCAATTACTGGATGATGCTACATTACAACAAGTTGATCCTAAGGTTATTTATCAACAATATGAAATTCTTAGAAGAGAATTTTTGAGTGCTTTAGCATTTGTTGAACCAACATTTGATCTCAGTTCTGCACTTGCAGGTGAATTACAAAGAACAATAAATGAAAATAGGATGTATCGAGAACAATATCTTAGTAGAAGTGCAGAATATCAAGTTTATCAACAACAAGCATTAAAACAATCACAATCAATCAGAAAAATGGAAAAAGAATTTGATAAAAAGAAAACAGATACTATTGAAGAACAAAAAAATCTTCAAAACCAATTAGAACGACTTATTGGAGAGTCTATAGTTAATAGAGATAATGTAAAGAAAACATATATTTCATTAGAAGAAGAATTTGATAATTTATTAAGAGAAAGTCTTAGTGAAACTGTTGAAGCTATTAATAATTATCAACATGAAGTAGATGTACTTAAAGGTCAAAAGAAACAAATCGAATCTGAAGAACATGTAGAAGGAAATATTGAAGAAATTCAGAGTTTACTTGAAAGTAGTAAAACTAAGTTAAGTAATGATCTCGAAGAGAAAAATAAAACTCTTAATGGATTAGATACTAAGATAATTGAAATAGAAAATAGTAAAAAAGAAAATACTGAACTTGTTCAAGACAAACAAGCATTTATTGATAAACTTACTCATGATACTGCAGAAATGGATAAAACATTAGAAGAATTACGTAAACAAGTAGCAGCTAAAAGAGCTGAAGAAGATAATAAGAAAGAAGAAATTATCGTTAAATCTCTTCCACAACCAAATCACGTTGCTAATCTTGAAGAGAAGTTTGTTTTTATTACTTTCATTCTAAATTCTCTATTGTCATAAAAAAAACATATAAAATTCATATCATTTAGATTAATTATCGATTGGTTTGGTAGATTTGGAATTGAAGTTGGTGACTTTAAAACTTCATTTAATGATGGTCTTCTTATTTGTCAAGTTATTGACAAAATTAAACCTGGTGTTATTAATTGGTCAATGTTTGCTCGTCCAAAGAATGGAAGAAGTTTAAATATTTTCCAAAGAAGAACCAACTGTACTGTATTAGTTGAAACTGTACAAACACTTGGATTAACTAATACTGGTATTGGGTCTCAAGACATTACTGATGGTAATGTAAAAATGTTGATGGGGTTCTTTAGGGCTTTAATGGTTTGGGAGACTTCATTAAAGAAATCTTTATTAGCATAAAATGGCTTACCGAAACAAATAAAATAACTTCCTTCAGTTTATTTTTGTTATTTTTTGTTGGACAAATTAATTCCGAAGAAACTTAATATTTATAGAACTCTAAATAATAAATTTAGTCGAGTAAAACCAAAATGAGCTTTTATGATAATTCTCATCAAGACAGAATGTTAAATGCAACCCAAAAATTAGAAGATTCAACTTTTGATATTGAAATGTCTAATGCTATTTTAGAAGATACTATTTCTACAGAAATGGATTCTGTGCAGGAATTAAAAAGACAACGAGAAGTTTTAGAAGATGATAACCGAAAGTTAGATAGAATTGATGGTCATCTTGATGAATCAAATAAAACATTAAAAAGAATGCTTTATAGGGCAATTACTAATAAAATCTTTTTAATTATTATGGCAATTGTATTCCTTATTATTATTGGAGTTGTCATTTATTTGGGATTTTTTGTCTTCAGAAAGAACTAAATGATTGTAACGTTCTTGTCTTTCGGTTTCTTTTAACAACATTCTTCATTCACTTACTTCTTTCATTATATAAAGAGATAATCATAAATGAAAAGGCAAGAATTTAAAAGAAAAAATGTTTTTGGAAAGAAAAAAAATGATTCATTCAAAAACTAAAAACCAGTCAATTAAAGTAACTGTCATTCACTCACACATTGGAGGAAAGTCTTTTTGGAAGGATTTGAATAAAAACTGGAAAAAATATGGGGAAACAAAAATTAAGTTGTCGGTAAAATTCATAAAAAAAGAAATTACACTCAAGGAATTACAAAAACAAAATCCTGATATTATTGTTTGTAGTGATACAGCTGGATCCCCTTCTTCATTCTCAGCTAGTGAAGTTATTGCATTAGAAACTTTTTTAAAAAACAGTGGTTGTAAACATTTATTAGGGACTTATGCTTTATTTCAACACCTTGAACAAAGAACAAATGGATATGACAATAGAAAAATTTGTCATCTTTTTGGTATTAATCCTTCAATGAAATTTGGAACCATAAATCTTGAGCAGTCAATATCTTATTGTCCAATAAATCCAGGAAAGAGTATTCTTTGGAATAATATTGAATTACCTTATGTGAGTGATGGATATTGTCATAGTCAAGTACCTTTTTCGTTGAGTTGGTTCAATGACGAAGGTAAATTCATTGGTGGAAAAGATGTTACTGTTTTAGCACGAAATGAACAAGGGACTGCTGTAATTGTGTATTATTCGACTAAGACATACTCTGCTGTTTATATCTCGACAATGCCAGAATTTAATACGCTTCAAACAAAGGTGGATTCTCAATTCATCTACAATTGTTTCATGTTTTTAGTAAATACAAATCCAACTTTATCTTTACAGTCTTTGTGTATACATCAAGTAAAAAAGCTACATATAAAACTGGTGTTATCTCAATTCCCACCACAGCTCTTTCCATCTATCCAAGAGCGTGTTTTAAAGAGAAAGAAATTAAAAAAAGTTATCACAAAAAATAATTCATCTTAGCCTTTCTATAAATGATTTTACCTTTTTTTATTTAATGAGGAAAAGTTGCTGGATTAGAGAAATAAACGCATAGAACCAGAAGAGGATATGAGAAAAAAGTTACGAAGTACTGAATAAAATAGAAGATGTTAAGAATAAAAGCAAGGATAATAGAAAAAAGAATATGAAAAATAAATTCATTAGAATATCTACAAAAATAAGTAAAATAGAGAAATGATTTAATAAAACAAATGGAAATATAGTACAGTGACTCTTCAAGATGAAAAGAAGAAGTTACAAAAAGAGAGAAGAAAAATAAATAGAGGATGTGAAATATATATATTTAATTCTAATATTGATAATTTGAACAAATACATTAATACCTGGTTATTGAAGATTCAAAAAGAAATAAAATTAGGATATATTAATTCTAAAATTAATAAATATTATTGTTATTTAATATTCGTTATATTAAATAAAATAATTTTTATTATTTGTCGTTTATTTAAAAATTCAGCAAGAATAAATTATTAAAAGTTATTATTTTTCAAAATGAAGTATATATTTTATTTGTTCAATATATTTTTAATTGTTATAATGTGTTTGTGTATCAACAAAAATGATTAATATTATTTCATTATAATTAGAACAATACAAATAAAACACATATAATCTCCGACTTTATTATTCAATCACGAATTTTATCATACATTCTTTTATTTGTTCATATCGTTTAATTTTAATATTATTAATTTCATATGTAATATCAACTTTTATATCTAATACAATATCCAATTCATATTATTTATAAAGATTCATTTAATATTCTTCTTTCCCAAAGTAATTTTTTAATGAGTGAATTTTTGTATTAAAAACTATTTAAAATGATAATGCTTTATTGAATTATACATTATCTTATATCGTTACCATCAAATAAAAAAATAAAATTCATCAGTAAGTATCATTTATACCCATTTATTATTCAATGTTCTTAGTTAATTATGTTACAAACCCAATAAAATAAAGTGTTTTATTAACAATGGAGATCAAATCTTATTATCAATAATAAGTATGTAAATGACTATAACTAACTATCTATCTATATATATTGTAGTAATTGATAATAATAAATTTATGAATTTTAAAATAAATTTACTCTATAAAGAAGTGCAAGACATTTGTTAAATAAGTAATTATTTGATTCGGTAATATTTATTTGTTACATATGTTATATTCATTTTGAATACCATAAATCTAATTTCAAATTTCATATACCTTTAAACTACTAATAACCATTTTTACTACTTTGATTTGTATTTTAAATAATAATTTCCTAAGAACCTTTTTTCTATAATTCTATTCTCATTCTAAGTTTAGAATAAGATACAAATTAAAAATAAATAAATATTTTTCAAATCAAAAACCAATTAAAAATATTTTTACATCAATTTTCTCTTTACATATAAAATCAACTTTTTTTGTTATGATTTTGTTATTAAGAAAATAAGATCGAAGGTGGCACGTCTGAAACACCACACATAAACCCTAGTACAAATTCATTCTTCGACTCTCCCAGTTATTATCTGGTTATGACGGTGCTTTTGAATTAGGAATGTATTAGGGAATGCTGCAAAGGGTGCAGCAAGAGAATACAGTAGAATATTACATGGATGTAATATAAGAATCTACTGAAGTGTGGGTATGACTAAAAGAAGATTAGTCAAAGTAAGACTAAAAAGAAAATTAGTCAAAGTAATACAGTAGTAATAAAATGATTCCTTCTTCCATTCATAAAATAAGAAAAATGAAATTCCTTAAAATTAAGGCAGAAAACAAACAAAGGCTTAAAAAGAAGAATTAAGCAGAAGAAGTTTGAAAAAACCTTAATAGGAAAAATAAAGCAAAGAAGTGCTTTCCTCATTTTGCAAGACAAACCTAAATGATAGGTTAAACAAAGAGATTACTCTTTTTTAATAAGCTCAGGGATGGGATTAATCTCCCCTGAGCTAGGAAGAATAGATGAAAATTCTATTAATACTTAATTAACTAATTTTTATGATTTTGTTATTAAGAAAATAAGAATAACAATACAAATAACAATGAAATAACTAAAAAGAATATTATTCTGTTTTTTTTTTAAAAAAAGTTTTTTCTGGTTAAGAACTAAAAAAATAAATTACTTTTTTAGTTATGAATTTACAAACACCTTCTCAAATGTTTCAAACGTTATCTTCATTTTGTGACACTGTTTTATCAAATCAACCATACGACTCAAAAACGCACATGGGAATGTATTCTACATGCATATTATATTCACAACAAACTCAAGGAAATGCCCAAAAATTATTTCAATTAATTCATCAAAAATGTATAATGAAATTAAAAGTACTTTTAAAACAAACACAACAAATAAATTCAACATTAGATTTCTTACGTTTTTATATTACAAATTACAAATTATATTTGATTTCATGTCAAAAAATTTCACATGTATTTTCTTATTTAGATCGTTTTTTTATTAAACAACAAAAAGCCATTAATGGAGAATATTCTAATCCAGTATTTAAACATTGTATGTCATTATTTTGGTGTGACTTTCTTAGAGCTAATGCAACAAATATTGTTGAAAATACAATGAATTTATTATTAGCAGAAAGAATTGATAATAACACACAAAATAGAGAATTAATTAATGGAATAATGTTATTATTTTTGTCATTTTCTAATCCAGAAATAGTTACTGTTTCATTAATGAATTTAAATATTTATGACAATTATTATCAATCAGAATATATTAAAGCCGCTCAATCATATTATAAAGACTTAAATAATTATTTTAAAAATTATGGTATTACTGAATTTTTAGAAAAAACTATTGAAATTATTGAATTAGAAAGACAAAGGTCTCAACTTTATGTTGCTGCAAATTTGCAAAGAGAATTTGGAGAATTTTTACAAAAACAATTTATTTCAGAACAATGTAAATTTATTATTGAAAAAATGGAAAGTTTATTAAAAACAAGAGAAAAAGATGATTTAAAAAAATGTTTTACAGTTTTAAAAGATGGAGAACAAGTTGATTCAGCTATTCCAGTATTTGAAGTGTATTGTAAAAAAATTGGAATGGAGAAAGTGAAATGCATAATGTCAATTCAACAAGCATTTGAAATTATTAAAGTAATTATTGAATATTATGAAGATATTACTAATTTAATTCAAGAATGTTTTAGAAATCATCCATCATTTAATGCAGGATTTGGAAGAGCATTTAGAGAAATAATTAATAGTAATGTTAAAATTGCAAATGGTGAAGAAATGGAAATATTAATTCCAGAATATTTAGCTAAATATTCTGATATTGTTGTAAAGAAATGTGTTGGTGTAGATGAATTAAATAATAAATTAGATCAAATCTTCTGTATTTATGATTTTATTGAAAATAAAGATATCTTTGAAAATTATTATATTAAAGCTATTGCTAAAAGAATGTTACTTCGTGGAAATAACGATGATCTATCTCAAGAAAATATCGTTTTCGATAGACATAGAGTTAAATTCTCGTCTACCTTTTCATATAAAATACAAAAAATGATGTCTGATCTTCAAATATCACAATCGCTTTCTAATCAATTTTTAGCTACTGTTAATGTCCCTTTCCCTTTCTTTGTTAATGTCCTTCAAACTTCGGTTTGGCCATTAGAACCTCAACAATTTATGTTTGAATTACCTGATGAATTAAAAACATCTCATATTTTCTTTGAAAAATGGTATATCAAACAACATCAAAGAAGAAAATTACAATGGCTTCATCAATATACTCGTGGTAAAATAAAAACTAATTGTTTTAATAAATCATACAACTTATTTGGTAGTGCTTATCAATTAAGTATTCTTGTATTATTTAATCAAAAAAATGAAATTACTATTGATGAAATATTTAATACTATTCATTTAACAATGGACATTATAAAAAGTATTATTTCTTCTTTACAGTCAGTTGATTTAATTTCTGTTGAAGATGGAAATATTGTTAAAATCAATAACTCATTTAAATATGCTAAAACTAAATTCGTTCTTCCTATTCCTAAAGCTGTAGTTTTTAAACAAGAAAAAAAAGAAGAAGAAAGAGAAATTACTGCAGAAAGAGTAGGATTAATTGAAGCTTGTATAGTTAGACTAATGAAAAAGAATAGAAAAATGCAACACAACGACTTAATGCAGGCTGTAGTTACCTCATTATCAAGTAGGTTTAGAACTCCAATTCCTTTAGTAAGGAGAACTATTGAATCTCTCATTGAGAGAGAATATATCTCAAGATCAGATGTAAGGAAAGATGAGTACATTTATATTGAATAACCAACTATTCTTCTCTTTTTTAATTTTAATGAATATTTACGTTATATAAAACAAATAAATATTAAAACATAAAACTTGAAAATTGAACAGATTTTATTGAAATGAACCAATCATCACCTCCTCTTGTTCTTGTTGAAAGTGAACAAATTCCAAGAACACAAAATCAAAGAAAGAAAAATTGGAAATGTACATTTCCTAAATGTGAAGAAGCACCTAAAACAAGATATAATTGTTATGCACATGTTTGGGATGCACATTTACGAACAGAACTTAGTAAACCAGGAAAGAATCCAAATAATTTATTATTAACAACGTTTAAGTTATCTCCTCAAAAAGATGATATTAAAAGGTTGTGTGAGGATTATATGATTAAATTGATAGATAAATATCCACCAACAAAAATTAAAAAAAAAATAATAATAAATAATAATGATGGTGATAACAATTTACAATATCCTTTTGCCTTTGACCCTAATTCAAAGTCATTTGACAATGAAATTCATACTAATTCATCATCAAATAGTGTTATTAATAATGAAACTACACCAAGTCGTTCAATAGAAAGTGTTCCAATATCATATTCTGGAGCACCTCTTGCTATTGACACACCTATTGGAATTGAAATGCAACCAACACCAATAAAACAAAACATAAATACA